GAGGAGGAGGAGAAAAAGAAGAAGAAGAAGAGAAAGAAAGAAAGAAAAAAATGAAAGAAAGAAAGAAAGAAAAAAAGAAAGAAAGAAAGAAAGAAAGAAAGAAAGAAAGAAAGAAAGAAAGAGAAAGAAAGTGCAAAGTACAGTATAGTGTGTAGACACAGAAGTTGTCAAGTGCTTGCAAGAATTAAATAACCAGGTCCAGATGATCTCAGCCAGCACAATTAGAGCAGATGGAGAAACACTACTTAGATTTGTGCCACCTTTCCTGCTGTTATATCTAAGTCTGGATCCTCAACAAATAAAGTGTCTCATAAAAATAATGTAAGAACTCACACATAATTTGAGAGTAAGAGAATGTGATTCTCAGATCACAGCTCTTTTAAACTGATGCACGCCTACATGGAGTGACCGGCAATCTACACAACTGAGATTTGCACACAGGTCATGCCACAGCCCAAACACTTGTTCCAAGCTAATGAGCTATGCTTGGGTAAATTTCCTTCACACTTGAAAGCCATTGGTTCTGTGACATCGGGGACGGTCTATGCAGGCATCACGGGAGATCCCGGCTGGTCAGAGGGCTTGACCAGGTTTCTAGGGGTCCAGAGATTGTGAAAGTCATATGCCCCTTGTTTGCTTGTATACATATAACAATCTCTGAGGTAAGAGCAAATAAAAACAAGTAACTTTCAATGATTTCATTTAAATCGGGGCTGAAGAGATGGCTGAGCAGCTAAAAGAGCACACAGATCCTGCAGAAGATGGGGGATTGGTTCCCCACAACCAATATCAGTGAGCTCTCAAGTCCTGTAACTGGAGCTCCAGGGAGTCTGACACCCTTTTCTGGCTACCACATAATACCCTCCCTAAGTCACACATATAAATATATATAATAAAAATTATATATATATATATATATATATATATATATATATATATATATATAATCTTTTTTTAAAAAGCACTTCAAATTGAAGCAGTGGCGCACAAGCACTTGAAAGGCAGAGGCAGGCGGATCTCTGAGTTCAAGGCCTCCCTGGCTTACAGTTCGAGTTCCAGGACAGCCAGGGGTACAACAGAGAAACCCTGTCTCAAAAAACAAAAAACAAAAACAACAAAGAAGTATTACAAATCATTTTTGTGCTGCACTTTGAGTGCATTCATAATACACCTTTAACTACTTATGCATTTTACTGAAAACCACCATGATCGAATGAAGGGTAGGCAGAACAAGGTGGCACTCCTTGTCATCAGCTGATTCTATGAGGTAATGAACACAGTTCACCAGAGTGTCTTAAAATGCAGGCTGGGAAGTATGGGCAGAGCTGCTCTTCAAGGTGTACTTGAAGTGAATGGGCAAGAGCATGTTGAGTTCCTTACATCAGTACCCAAATATGTCAGCGTGGAGCTTTGCCCAGGACACATCAGGCACAAGACTGTTGCTAGTTCTCACATATACTTCGTGACCTAGAAGTAACTTTCCAGACCAAGAACAAAGGAACTTGCCATGCCTGTGACACAAAGGTTTCAGCCCTCACTCCCTCCTTTGAGGACAGCTGTCTTGAACAACTAGATGACTACATGGGACATCCATGGTTGCTTTTGTGGCTCACAGTCACATGGCATACCTGAATCCCCAGCTTTGACCCTTGTGAGTGTCATACTCAACCTATTTCTTTCTGCTTCATTGGCACTGTTAATAAAATAAAGAGAATATTCATACTGATTATGTAGAATTAGTATAAAGATCTGAAAAAGAAATACATGAAAATTGCTTAGAACAATATGACCTATATATTAAGAACTCAGTATTAACAAGAGTGTTTTGTGTGTGTGTGTGTGTGTGTGTGTGTGTGTGTGTGTGTGTGTTTGATTCCCTAACTGGTCCAGCTGTGAGAGTAATTCATATGTGTAAACAACACATGCCTGTGCATGAATGGCAGAGTTGACAAACGAGAGGACAGTTCTCTACAAGGAGAGAAGTAACTGCAGTTGCAAGTATGCATCACAGACTAACCGACTCTTGTTCCCACAGGGGTAACTTCGTCTTAAATATGAAGCTACTTCATTTCTTTGTGTGCTTATGTACAGGAGTTCACATATACAAGTCTGTGTATCCACAGATGTGTGTGAATAGAGGTCAGGGGACAAACACAGTTGCTGTTTCTCAGGTACCATCCACTTTGTGTTTTTGAGTCAGGGTCTCTGCTCAGCCTGGGGCTCGTAGATAAGGACTGGATGGCTGGCATATAAATGCAAGGGATCCATTTTTTTCTCTGCATCCTCTGTGTTGAGATAACAAGAGTCTTGCATTACCATGCTTGGTTTTTCAACATTGGTTCTAAGGAGCAAATTCAGATCCTCACACCTGCGTGGCAAACACTTTCCCAATGAAACTATCTCCTCAGGCCCATGTTTATTCCTTTGAAGGAATGATACAAATTAAGGATTTAAGTAGATGTTGTGGTGCAGGATTATCAAAGACATTTTGCCATGCCAGATTTGGAGACTGCCATTTTTTGAAAATTGTTCACATGATTTTAAAGAATTCGGCGGGGCATGGTGGTTGCAATCCCAGCACAGGAAAATCTCTGTGAACGTGGACTAGCCTGTGTGTAAAAAACCAAAGAGAGCTGAGAATATAGCTCACTCACTATGTAGAGTGCTTGCCTAGCATGCACAAAGCCCTGAGTTCAACCTCTATCATCATCACCTAAATCAGGTACGAGGGGACACACCTGTAATCCCAGAATGGGAGAAATAGAAGCAGAAGGATCGTCAGTTCAAAGTCATCCATGTAACAAAGCAATCTCAAGGCCAGACCAGTGTAGGACAAATGTGACCCTTTCTCAAAACAAGCAAACAACAATGAAGAAAAGATGAATATAACAAAGAAGACAAAAAAAAACTTTGATGCTAGGATGAGAATCCTCTTTTAGGAACCTGGCAAGCATAGGAATCAATAGCTACAGAGATCAAACTACTCCTGGGTCATCAATGGCACCCAGGCTATAGACATTCTCACATACCAAGAACCTGAATCTGCAGCCATCCCTGGGTAAATAGTAATAAACACAGGAGCATCTTTTATGAGCTCGGGATACAATGGTGATGTTGGGAACACAGGGCATGCTAGGCAAGTACTCTACCACCACATCCACAGCCCTGTTTTTCAAACTCCTGAACTCACCCACCCAGGGATGGTCTATATAATCCTCAGTTGGCAATCTCAAAACTAACAAGCAATTTTCAACCAGAAAGTGGCAGCATCTTAAAAACTGATATCCAGTGACTCAGGCATAGTTAGAGTGGGTACTTTGATATAAAATGAATCATTATTCGGTTTTTGAAACAATTAACATTCATGAGCTGTACACATGAAGATTATGGAAACACAAACCTAATGTCAACAAAGGTTCCACACACAAGAGGATAGATATTCTCTTTATATTATACTATAATTTGCATGTTGTTTTACAAACTAGCATTATTTCTGGAATTTATAGAAATAACAAAGAATTTCAAAGTAATGAAGCACTCTAATGGAAATGTGCCTACTGAGTTTGCAACACTATATTCAGGCCAGTGTTTAAGATGCTGCCACTCTCTTGTTGAAAATCTGTCAGTTTTGAAATTTAATAATGGGACACTCCAAATACAGTTATTATTTGCATGCTGAATACGTTTTTTAAAATAACAATCTTTAAAATTAATTTGTGCTATTCCATAAGCTTATAGTCATGATCACAGAGTAACTCGTCTCTTGAAATCTTTACAGTGACATTTTGGTTAAGGGTTGTACCTTCCTAAAGCTTGCTGAGAACATCCCCATATTTGTAGAGTCATAAACGAAGAGGAAGGGGACCGGCAAGGAGAACGCAAATTGCTATCAATTTCCATCGCGCTTTGAAAAGCTGTCAATGACTAGTTTATCAGCAGCTCCTTTGCCTCCCATCCATTCGCTCTAAGTGCAAGCAGGGGAATCCAACATTGACTTGGTCAAGAGCTTCAGATGCAGGAAATGCTCGAGTCAGAAGTGTGAGACCAAAGGGAGGAGCAGGAAGATGATTGTGAACAAATGCTGATAGCCAGGGTGGAGGAATAAGAGTACATGCTCATGAACAAAAACAAGCCGGATAAAACAACTAAAGCCCAAACAGGAAATGCTGCCATCAGGAAGGTTTTCAATTTGCAGACTATCCCACAGGGTTATGAGCGCCTGTACATGTATTCTCCAGCCTTTATCTTCAGATGAAATCTACGATTGTTTTGCATATTGCAGAGTACTTGAGCTCAGTTTGCAGACACCCTTAAAAACACCTCCGTTCAGGTAGGGATCATCATAGTTGGTTCTAAGATCTTATCACATACTGGTTTATCCCATTAGACACTGAATGACTGTCACTTAATCCAAATGCGCTTTAACTCAACATCCAATAGGTCAAATCTTCCCAAAGAAACTGACACTTTTATTAACTTGCACAGTCGCCCCCAACAGCATCAGCAGAAAGTGCCTAATCCCCAAATGTCTGAAAGAATGTATGGAAGGAAATTTGACCAAAGGCCATGGGGCAGAGGGACGTTTCTGCACCAAGCACCAACACTCACACCTCTATTGTCCGTTAATATCCAGACACCTGTCCTAGCTTGGACCTAGAGCCCCCAAAACCTCCAGGAAACCCCCCCCCAACACCACCAACAGGTCTTGGGATCACGTGACCAGCGGCAGCCACCAAAGCTTTCTCAACACCCAAACAAATGCAAGGCAAGGCGAAGGTCTTGAACTTCAAAGCCCCAGCAGCCTGCAGCCTTTCTTTAGCCCACCTGGGCAGAAGGAAGGCCTGGGGTGGTCTGCTTTCCATAGGATCAGGCCTAGGGATCAAGGTACTCAGCCTCTCAACTGCTTTCTTGGGGGAACTGAGACTCCCGGTGCCGGACAGCGGCCGGGTGTGGAGTGGGTCATCCCCGGGCACCGGGCGCGGGCGGAGCGTGAGACTCACCCACGCCAGCGGCTCCGGAGCTCCCGCGTCGCACTCAGCTGCGCGGCTGGAGCCGCATCCCAGCAGCAGGTCCCCACCCGCCCTGACCGCGGTGTCCCGCAGTGCACCGTCCAGGGGGCCAGGAAGTTTGCAGCCAGCCGGGAGGTGGGGTGGGGCGCTGGGAGAAGTAGCCCAGGGATTTTGTTGTTGTTTGTTTGTTTTCCTGGATCTCTAGCAAAGATTTTGGGGGACCATATGCCTTGAGAGTATTAGCTTTGCTCAATGGCGACAGGGCCTGGGCCTGACTCTCACAGTGAGATCGATTTACTAAACAAACTGAAACGTGGGTGGGGATGTTAAACAGTAACCAGCGAGCCTCAATGAAAACTGAAAGCAGCAAGGCAGCCTCCGCCCGGGCGAAATCATTTCCCGGTTCCCAAGCCCTGGGGCTCGCCGGCCAGCGACGCCCGCAGGGGCCGTCGGGGCCTTCGCAGACATCCCTCAGATGCGGCCACAGCTGCATCTGAGATCCATCAGAGGGAGGACCCCAGTGGCTTGACGCCTCCAGCCAGAGCTGGCCTCTCTCCATCTCCCCGGGACGCCGAGCCCCGCCAGGTTGGGCCACGCTGCGGTCCAAAACCGGGGACCTTCCCCTCCCCTCCGAGGCAAGCCTCGTTGCGGCGACATTTACTAGGGCTGGGAAGTGCTTTAGGGCAAGTGGCAAAGAGAAGCCTGTGCTCCTAGGATGCGAATCTAATTCATTGCCCAAGAGGTCCGGAAAAGGGCGGAAGTATTAAAAGGAATTAAATGGGTTCCTGGGGGCAGGACTGCAGCCACACCGCTAGGGGACCCTATGGCCACTTCTTTAACTTGCGCCCTGGGCCTGTGAGCGGAACGCCTCCTGGGTGCTCTGTTCTGCAAGAGTTCTGTGCAGGGAAGGGAGAATACATCTCTCTTTCAGATACCCGTGGTTTCTAGTCAATAAATACCTTTTTACATATGTATTAGATGGAAAACTTCCCTCTCCCTCCCGTGCCCTTCCATTGCGCCTTCCAGAACCTCCTTACTCCTTATGGAAGGATGCCTGACACATCCCTGCTACCGCTGGTCACCTTGGTCCGGAGTTTGTGACAGGAACAGACAGATCTGTGATTATCTTTTTTAATCTCATCAGTTTAACGTCGTGGTTGCAGAAACGAAAGGCTTCAGGTCCAACAAGTAATTACGCTCATGAGATAAACAGTTACTTAATCCACAGGGTTTTCTTTTCTGACCAGGGGGGTGGCTGTTATTTTAGTATTGTAATAATGCCAGAGAGATCAAAGAACTGGGAGTGGTTTTGTTTTGTTTTTTTCTTTTTCTTTTTAGATGGGATTTACTAAACTTTCTCAGTTTCCTCCTTTTGAATATCCTACTGAAAGGCTCCTTTAAAACCAAGGAGTTAGCTGTTTTAGAAATCAGAACAAAGGAGACAGATCACATGTAATTTTCTTTAAATGGAGTTTCCAGAGCAAAACAGATTTTTGGGTGCTCATTGCCCATGAGACCTTGCAAACGGTGTGAGGAAAGTAAGTGGCTTCCATGCAGGAGGAATACTGGCCAGGGCAGCTAAAGCGAGTTAGAATTAACGGGTTACATCGATTATGCAAATCGCCCACAGGGGTGTTGTTTACAGCTCTCCTGTGGCCATTGTTTAAAAAAAAGAAAAAAAGAAAAGAAAAGAAACTTTTCAGATGTTCGGATAGTGAGGATTGTCTAGTAATATACTAAAATGTAAATGTATAATTAGCATAAAACCCTGGAAGTTTGGGGGTGAACTTCTCCATTTCCGATCACAGAAGCTGAGACCTAACACTCTTGCGCCCCTCGAGGCAATCATTTTTGACTTGAAAAGAGTCAGTTATTTCACTGTGTAGCCACAGTATAGGTGGGTTTGGTTTTGATCAATGCCTGCTGGCTGTGTGGTAGAATCTCTGTTCTAACAAGAAATGACCATGGGATCTGTTCAAAAGTATGCTGACAGTGTGTAGAACCTTGGCCAGGCCATCTAATCAACAACTTTTGAACTAATGAAGACAGACAACAGCCAAGCCCAGCGCTCAAGAAGTGTGTGAGGTCTGAGATACCGTGGAAGAGAAGTATTGTATTCGTTCAATGGAAAACCCACTGAACAGAGACGACGTTTGGGGTTAAGAACGCCAAGGGCGTGGTTTCAGATGAATGTATGAACGCAGTCTATTAACAGGTAAACAGAAGGCAACAAGGTCGCCCTGGCTCCGGGGCCGGAGCCGGAGATTATCATGTGTATTGTTACTGAACCCAATTTATCACGATTCTCCATGGCATGGGTTTTAGTTGCTGAAGGTGAAAAATATCCGTTATTCAGAGCTGTTCCTTGATGCTCCGCAGGGGTGGAGAGTGGGCCCGCAAAGAGCAGGAAGAGATCGCGAGGATGTTTCAGGGAAAGGGTCCTGGAAGACACGTGAAGCTTCGTTTTACTAGTGCTGACAGGAGGAAAATTATGCACACGTATTTATGTCCCATCTGCCCCTTTAACCTAACCCTGAACGCTCAAAATGCGACTTCAAAACCGTCTCACTTCAGTTTCTTACTAAAGGTCTCTCTTTCCGCCTGAACGTTTTCTTCCTTCTTTACAGCATTCTTCTTGCCAACGCCACATAGATTGTCAAAAAAAAAAAAAAAAAAAAAAAAACCCGCAGATTTTCGATGCAGTTGTTTACAAATAGTGGCCTCTCCAGGAGAGTTGGTGACTTTCGGAAGGCGCAGGCGAACGTGAGGATGCTGCGGAGTGGGGGACGGTCTCCTTCTTTTGCGCACTCACAGCTGAAACCTGAGGACCATTTGATCGCCAGGACCCCGAGCTTCCGAAGATGGCTGCTAGGGACAATCCCGCTCCACCCACTGAGAACTAAAACCCTTCCTAACACATGATGGGCAGAAGTCTGCTTCTGACTGTGGCCTGCTGATATCGCCGCCACCTTTGCTGGCTAGATTAAAAAATAGGATCCTCTAAGCTCTTTCAGTGGTACCCAGGCCTCAGTTGGCCACCGCCTGGCGCACGGGCGCAGGGGAGGGGAATAACAACCCAAGCTGGCTGACATTCACCTGCAGCAAGAGGAAATACAAAGAAAGTATGAAGCTCAAACATTTCTACACACACACACACACACACACACACACACACACACACACACACACACACACCTCCACCCTCTAGATTTGGACAAAGCCAAGTAATATCCTCAAAGTCACTTGCCTGTAAAAGACCTCTGCTGAAATTAGTCCTGAGCTGTGCTGGGTCTGTGAGCACACTCAACTGAGGAAGCTGTGTTTGACCCTGCCGCAAAGCATCAGATAAAACAGCGTCCACTGAAATTTCTAAAACTCCCCGGAGACCCTCGAATGTTTTATGCATCAGAAGGGAAGGCCAGAACTCAGGTCACTGGGCTTGGGAGGAAGAGGAGGGCGGGGCTGCAGGGTGAGGGTGAGGATAAACGTGGCGCGTGGACAGTCTGAAATGCAGGCCCCATACGTTACTCTCTCTTAGGTAATTCCCACTAACTACGGAGGGGATCCACAATCCTTTAGCCCCCTAATACAGCCTAAGGCCAGCCCACAGCCTGCTAGCTTGAGGCCAGTTCATTTTCACTGACTCTGGGGCAGTGACCTACAAAGAGGCTAGTCCCTGGGCCTGAGGCAGTAGGAACATACTTCTCATCTAGGGTACCCTCACCTGCTGTTTATCCAGTTGAGCTTTCCACCAGGTCCCTACCTTTCCACATTTAATCTTAAAAATTCAAACAAGAAGAAGGAAGCACAACGGAAAAAGGAGAGAGGCAAAGTAGGAAAAGAAAATCAGTCCACCAGGCAGGTTGAATCCCAGCACACTGACTGATCAGTTCTCTCTTATCATCCTACCCAAAGAAAAAGAATCCAGATATTTTCCTGGTATTTTGGGTGCCAGGATGGATCAGAAACTTAAAAACATTAAAGCTATAGGCATCACATTAGGGACAGACCTGTCATCCAACTCATCTCCAGTCTGACCCAGATTGAAATTTTATCTTTGGCACTCAAGTCACAGCTCTGGAGGGCCAGTTTCTGTAAGGAAGACCACCAGACTGTTTTCAAAGCTCTCCTTACCTGTTCATAAAAATGCAAAGCCGAGATTTCAAATTGAGCATCTAAATGGAAACCACTCTGACTACGTTATGCATCTGACAGAGACACTGTGAAAATCGAACACTTAATAATTCTCAATGTCAGCACACAGTTCTTGTGCCAAAAAAGCAAATTACTAGGATGGACCTCCCTCCCCCATCCTCTTTGTAAATTTCCTGTTGAAGTATTGATTGCCAAGGTCTCTGCAAGATTTGCAAACTTTTACAGTCATTTATGGTGCATGCAATAAAAGAGGTGATATGAGCATGCTAGTTCAAGGTGTAATGCAAAGATGTATTCGGTGCCCTTGGCAACTATCTGTGAGACCTGTTTGTCTTTGCAGAACACACCCTTCTCTGCAATGAGCCCCTCTGTAACAAAGATCTGCCCTTTACATTTCCAGAGCCTTGGCCCCTTATTGGAAAGGCACACACCCTTCAAAAGAGAAAACCCAGTTCCTTCTCCTTTCAACTGTGAGAAAATTGAAGCACTGAGATCACGTTGAGGCAACACACTATTTGGGACTGTAAATGTTCAGAGCGGGGGGTGGGGGGGGGGGGGGGGGGGAGGAAGAAAGGAAGGAAGGGAGGGAGGGAGGGAGGGAGGGAGGGAGGGAGGAAGGAAAGAAGGAAGGAAGGCAGAAGAGAGACATTATGAATATTTCCCCCAGAACACGTGACTATTTGTTGCTGGATTGCAGTTTCACAGTTTTTCTAAAGGAACAGAATACTAGGGGCTGCTCCTCTTTTACACTGTGATTTCTACGTAAAAATTAAATGCCTTATTCTTAAATACCTAAAAACCTTACATGCTTTTACTAATTTTAATGGTGTTTCTTTCCTTTGCTTTTTCTTTAAAAGACAAATAAACAGCTATGTGTAAGAGGTAAGGAAAGACAGAATTGCCTCTAAAATTTCTCCTTTCATCCCAGTGGGCTTTCTCCTGTGGAGCTGTTGCAGATGTGAATGGTGGCCTATGTGGCTTCAGTAAGGTATTCCAAATCCTAAACCTGCCACCTAGTGGGCACAAGAGAAAGTGCCCACTCCAGGAATCAAGCTTGCCTCTGGCTGTTTTTTTTTTTTCTTTAGGAATCAAGTCTAAGAAATAAAATAAAAA